CCCCTGCAGCCCCTGCCCCACCACCCCCTTCCCTGCCCACACACTGGCCCTGCTGTCCCCACCACACTCCACATCTACATCCCTGTCCCCATCCCCTTGTCCTGTCGCCACCCCAAATCCCCCTCCCCATCTTCATCTTAATCCTATCCCATCCCAGTTCCATTCCCATTCCCTTCCCAATCCCAATCCCACACCAACCCCCTCCCCATCCCCATCTTGTCCCTATTCCCATCCCCACCCAATCCCATCCCAATCTTCAACTGAACCCCAATCCCAAAATGAAATTTACACTGAACCCCAATCCCAAAATCCATCCCAATCCCTATTCCCATGCCAATCTGAATCCAAATCCCATCCCCTCCTACTCAATCCCAGTCTCCCCACCCTCAGGAACACCCCAACCCTCAAACCAGGTGCTGCAGGATCCAGCTGGGACCCCCAGCACCCCCAACCCCTCCAATCCCATGGGATTTCACCCTTCCCAACTGTTGGGAATCACCCCCAAGTCCCAGTACCCTCCCAATCCCACTCCTCTCCCAACACCTGCCCCATTTTTGCTCCCAAATCCCTCCGGCCTTAAGGATCCCTCCCAGGAACTGGCACTTTGGGAACACACCCCAGCTCCTGCTGCAGCCCTGGGGGTGTCCCCCCCAAAAAAACCTCCCCCCCCAGCAGGTAAAAAACGCCACATTTGGGGTTTTTTTTACCCCATTTCCCTGTTTTTAGGGCGTATTTCCCATCCCAACCACCGATCCATTCCCATTCAGAGCCGGATCCCTCCAGCAACAACCAATTCAACTCTTTGAGGGACTTCCTAGAAACCTACATTTTTAAAAAAATCAACAGTTCTAGATATTTTTAAAAAGCGATTTCCCCCTTTTTTTAACCCCCCAAACCCCCCCAAACTCAACTCAAAATCGGGCTGAGCAGCAGAGCCCGAAACTCGGCTCGTTTGTTTCATTTCCCCCCCACTTTTTGGGATTTTCCTGACATTGTTTTCCAGCTCTCCCGGCCGGATCCTGCCCGGCCCTTCACCGCCCGGCCCGAACGCTCCATTTTGGGGGGATTTTCCCTTTTTTTGATCACTTTTCCCCTTCATTCCCTCCGCTCTCCCGGCTGGTTATGGGGGGGGGGGATCCAGCAGGATCCG